TACTGAAATAGAAAAAAAAGAAGAAGCGGCAGCTGAGAGCGCAGGCAAATGCAGTTTAAATCACCTCGGACAGAGCATCCCGGTGAGAGGTCTCTGTGGTGGCGGTGGCTGCGGCTGCGGCAGTAGGCGGTTCAAGCGTCGGTTCCATAGTCGCATTGGCGGTGGTTGTGGCAATGACTGGTTCTCGCTCGAGCAGTTCGCGGGCCTGTCTTTGCAGGTGAAGAGTTACCAGCTTTGTGTATAACTCCTGAGGATCGAGACTGCCACTGTTTACGTCGTTGTTGCTTGTCTGTGTCTTGAAACTGTGGCGCGCGAAGAGACAAAACAAAAGCGGAAAATTAACACCAAAAGAGGATTCACTTCTGCTATTATAAAAGGATCAGTGTAAAACCAACGCTCCTCCCCCCCTCCCCCCTGTTCGACATTTGTTATGGGAGCGCAACCCGAATAACGCCTGCCGTGCCCTGATCCAGCCCCCGTATTGGTCTAGCGTATCTAACATGTGGCCCCTTTAGGGAGTCTCGTGGAGGATTAATGAAAGAACAGGCACACCAGGGATTTCAGGTCAAACTCTTGTTGAGGATCCGCCTGTTCGAGCAGAGGTTGCATAAATTGCCGGGTTCGGCAGTTATTAACCATCACTACGAAAGTGAGTGAACTGAAACCAGCGTTTTCCAACTGAACACTCCTTTATTTAGGGGGTTTTGGCAGATTTTCTTAATTTAGTTGACCCAATTGTGAAAAAAACCCGCGGCGTTTGGCGGGAATCGAACCGGCATAGCAGGGAAGGCCCATACACAGCCAACGCTCTGCCCCTTGAGATACAGGCGCCACGCCTTGCGCCGTGAATTTAATCACACTTGGATCGATTTTACCCACTCAACTTTACCGCTCGTATGGAATCTACCAATACGCAAGAGCAAGCTGACTGCCCGAGTAGGATTTCCCAAGCAATCGTCTAGAATCCACCAGAATGACTACTAGGCTGACTTAATTATTTAGGGGGTTTGGGCAGATTTGCTTAATTTAGTTCACCCAACTGTAGAAAAAACTCGCAGCTTTTGGCGGGAGTCGAACCCGCATAGCAGGGAAGACAGGCAGTCAACGCTCTACCCCTTAAGCTACAAACGCCACGCCTTGGGCCGTGAATTTAATCATACTTGCATCTATCGTTAGCTGCATAAAGACCTTCCCTGCTATGCGGGTTCGACTCCCACCAAACCCCGCGAGTTTCTTTCACAATTGGGTCAACTAATATAAAATAAGTCTCCTTTGTCAACATGATGAGTCCCTACAGCCGAAGCAATTGGGGGTGTGACTGCCGAGGGTCTAAAATTTTGACACGCGGTAAATTGCAAGTCCGGACCTTTCCTACTGGTCACTGGAGTAGTCCTGTTCTAGCTCAACCAGTTGCAAAGAGTGGTTACTTAAAGGCGGTAGTAACAGAAGAGAAAAGCCAGACAGTCCCGAAGAGTCAAGATGACTTTGAAGCTAAGGCCTATCAGAAGAGCAGTCTAGGTAGTTGTGTTAATGTGAAATGGAGATCGTGCGAAATCCGTGATCAGTTGCGCAACTTGTACATCGTAAAACAGGAGACAGTGTCTATAAGACGAGTTTAGAAAAAAAGCTGAATTTAAATGACCTCATACACTCATTTCTATGACGGCTTTACCGCCTTCTGGCACCAAACATGAATTATATACTTAGTAGCAACACGTTTCGGGATGAAAGAGGAAGTAAACACACAGTGTCCGCGAAATTTAGAACTGTTCAAAGTCCGATACTGAAGTCACTTAAAAAGGTGTCTGCTATGACCATCAGCACAGAAAACGTAAACAGCAGCCTACCTGGGATAGATGAGCACCCCCTCATTCAGGGGTATGTTGTGCCGCGCCAGCGCAAGTAAACGCAGCAGCGTCGATCGATCATCCGCGTTCAAACAATTGGAGGCTTCGAAGAGGTCTGCCACGCGATCACAGTCGTGCCACTCGTAGTCAAAAACTTGTAAATAAGCCTAAATAATTCCGAAAAAAGGGGTAGGGATAAAGGCTGAGCATAGTCAACGACAACGGATGACGGGGTTTTGTAAAAACAAGCAAAAAGACTGAATGATTTACTAACAGCACAAGTAATAGGCCAGACGCGCGCGTGGTTCGCCGATCGTGTGTCGCTGAATGACGTAGCTGCGAGGGGGTCGGCTTCTCAGTGGGTCAACCGGCACGTGTGTTTTCTGGCATTCTGTGTGTTGTTTACACTTCGAGAAAATTAATGCGCGAACTCGACCTAACTCCACCAGAACAAACATTTTTTTCTACTTCTTTCTACAAGCTTTACTCAGAAGGTTTTAGGTCAAGTTCACGCGCATGAATTGCCTCGGGAAGTAAACAAGATAAACAGCGAATTTGTTGCACTTGACAAATAATATTAGCGAAACGTGACAGAGAGGGGAGGTTGGCGCGATCAGATAAACATCGTGAACACACATTTTCAAATGAAATTATGTACTTTTCAGCTCAGCCACCCATGGAGGATCGGGAATTTTCCGCGGTAAGTATTATTTTGTACTAGAAAGTGGATTTAAATGTTGATTCAGTACCCACTACAAAGCGGAATAAAGAGTGGAATTTAGGTGCTAGTCATTCCTAATAAAATTTGTCTAATAATGGCTAGATTTACAATTAAGAGTTACCTGAAAAAGAGGAATAACAGTAAGTATTTCGTGAGAATTCGCTCGAATAAGGTTCTGTTTGTTGCCGTCAGTTCATGCAGCCAACGATTCAGACTGAGGGAAGCAAGAAAACGGACGACTCTTTGCCCAACCGAAAAGAGACCCTAAAGACTGTCTAAATGTGCTTCTTCAGCTTGAAAATTTGGCATTTCCGAGATTACTTCAATCGTTATCACGCGACATCGAGTCGAGCAAAGCAATGATTAATGTTGGCTTCAAAAAGGCTGGAGCGTACTTTTGTTGCTACAGGGCCAAACTTTAAAAATATGTAAAGCTGGAACGATTGTGCTCCACAAGGCCAAAAGTACGCATGCTGACGCGCCGAATTCTAATTCGATTAGAATTTCAGTTACCCACAGCGAAACAGGTAAAAATGTCGTCAAATTCTTTGGTTCCCAAAATAGTTTAGCGGGCGAAATAGGACGAACAACCGTCCCTCATGACTGGACATGCCCGTCTGGAAGACACAACGATAAGCAATAACTACCCGTCCTAAATCCATCGGAACAAAGTTTTTCTGTTTCCGTGTACACGCTTTATTTCGAAGGATTTAGCTAAAGTTCGCGCGCATGAATTCCCTCGAGCAGTAACCAAGGCAAACAGTAAGTTTTTTGAACTTGACAAACAATATTAGCGAAACGTGACAGAGAGAGAGTTAGTGCGCTCAGACAAACATCGTGACTACACATTTTCAAATTAAATTATGTAGTTTGCGACTCGGTGACCCGTGGAGGACCAGGAATTTTCCACGGTAAGCACTATCCTACATTTAAAAGTGCATTTACATGTTGATTCAGCATTCACAAAAAACCGAAAAGCACAGAATAAAGAAGTGCAATCCTGCTGCTAGTCAGTCCAAATAAAGGGTGTCGAATAATGACTAGATGTCGAATTAGGACTTACCTGAAGAAGAATAACAATATATGTATTTCGTGAAAAT